GGATTGAACTCACGCTGTTGATGAATACTCTTTTGCATGAATCTTTGTGCTATAGCACACTACCATAAAGCCCTGCCCAGACTATCAAATTCGATTCACAAGACATGTGACATGCCTAAATATGGTCATGATGACATCACATAACGAATATATATATATAGGCACGTCACGACTTTATATGGGCATACAACAGTTTTTGTCAAAGAAAATTTGATAGTATGGACTTAAGCTTAATTGAAATGGTGAAAAAGCTTTAAATGGCTAACAATTTTTTTTATTGGTATTTTAAATTTATGTTCATTAACTTGAAATGAGAGATTTGAGAAAAAAAAAATTATGGGTTTTTTCCCCTAAAATTCTTAATATTATATGCGGTATTATAAAAGGAATGTAACATGGCAGTTAAACAAATCTCTTCCAAAATTTGTCGAAGGCTAATAAAATCAATACATATACACTAACTGAAATATCATCTTCAGCCCCAAAGAACAAAGTTAAGTCTTCAGTATTTAGAAGCATAATAATTGTCTATGTTTCAAACTCAATTTTTGTTTACATTTCCTGACCAAAATTTAGTTATATTGTCAGGTTCAATGTTTCTAAATACTAATTTCAGGTATTTTAACTCATACGTTGTGGTTACATTGTAACTTTGAATAAAATGATTTTAATGAATAAATTGTTATAATTTCAAAGGTATACACAAAGGTTACTTTTCATATTGGCTTTTTTTTCAAAACTTCAATTTGGTGAAGATGATATTTTATCTTGTCATGTTGCAATAAAATGGATTTGATTTGATTTGATTTTTTTACACAATTAAAATTCATTTTTATTGAAAATGTCTCCCAAATTACTATTGACTGTTGTAAATACTCATAGCTTGTTTTAATTAGCTACTGCATGTTGTAACTAACTATTGCATGTTGTGTAACAAATTTGTGCTTTTTTGCTTTTGCTAAATCTTTCTTTTTCTTTATTGATTGGTGTAGGCCTACAGATTTACACGGTTTATGTTTGGTGGCGCACTCTGATAACTTCTATTAAAACACTTTTATTTATCTCGTGATAATTTGTTGTCTAGTCTGAGATAAACATTGAACTTTTAATGATGCAATCGACAATATTATTTCTCAAATACCTGCTGGTTTGTTTTATAATCAGCAAGACTCTTGCTCTAAATATTACGATTACTAAATCCGTTAATGCTGATGACGAAAGCGATCAGAGTTTCTACGTCACAGAGGATGAGGTTGAGATTTTGGAAGTACGTATTGAAGATATAACTGAAGATTTAACTCTAGTCGCGATTTCTACAGATGAGAATATCTTCCAAATCCAGAATAAAACGAGTCGTTTTCCTGTCTCTATCGAATTTGATACGGTTCGGATCGGTATACTAGGAGTTTTTGTTGGTATTGAGAACATTGAGATAAGTCTGGAGAGTGACAGTGAAGTTATTGTCAAAACTTTGCAACCAATAAAGGTGAAACGCAAGAATGTTCTGATCGCTACTATTTACCAGTGGACTCTGACTGCTTGGCTTGTCATCTCCTACATCACCATGGGCTGCAAAATGGACTGGAGAATCATAAAAGAGAAACTACGCAAGCCGTACGGGGTGTTAATTGGTGCTTTTTGTCAGTTCATAATTATGCCAGCTCTGTCGTTTGGCCTCGCTAAGCTTCTTAAACTCGACGACTCGGCAGCAATCGGACTTGTTACCGTCGGATCATGCCCCGGTGGATGGCTTAGTAACGTCTTCAGTCTACTACTTGATGTTGATTTCGTTCTAAGCCTTACAATGACATTTTGCTCTACCATTCTTGCTCTCGGGTTTATGCCACTGAATTTGTACTTATATGCAACGCATTTTGTTGGCGACAACGAAGATCTAAAAACTCCGTTTGTTGATATAATGATCCAGCTGATTTCACTGGTCATTCCTGTAGTGATCGGTATGTTCATTTTATACAAATTACCAAAAGTTGCTGAACTCTGCTTAAAGTGTTTGAAACCGTGTGCCGTGATTCTGATCATCATAAGTTTAGGTCTGGGAATCCCAGCCCAGTTTTACATATTTTATTCTTCCTGGGAAATATGGGTGGCGGCAGGGTGTCTACCTTTCGTGGGCTGCTTCCTCGGTTTTGCAATCTCGAAGATCGCCAAGATGGAACTAAAGTCCTCTGTTACGATATCTTTAGAAACAGGTGTTCAAAACAGCCTGTTGGCGATCGCTATGGTGGGTATATCATACAAAAAACCGGAGTCAGACCTAATCGGCCGCGTGCCCCTTCTGATCGCCTTGCTGACATTGATGGAAGGGAGCCTTGTGACCAGTTTTAAAGTACTCATTCAGAAATTCTGTTGGAAGTCAATACCGGTGGAAGATGAGAAGGAAATCATCGGTAAGGACCGTTCCAAAGATACTGATATGAAAGAGATCAATGGAAACAAGACTACTAGTGTGCCGAGCATTTCTGTCGCGGTTCAAGTCGGTGACGAGAATTTCACTAATGGATCTACCACCGTTAATGCACTGGACAATCCGGCTTACTTAGCTGAATAATTATTTTAATGCACCCTCATGCACCTGTCTCTTATACACATCTAGATGTGTATAAGAGACAGTTTATACACATATGACACACAAACGCACATATATACATATATGTACTTTGAATTGATTTTGCTGTGAATATATATATACATAAAAGTATATATATATAAATGTATATATATATACACACATATATATATATATATATATATACATATAATTAATATGTATATTATCTGTTTACAAAGGATAGTTTTTGCGAGTCTTTTTACTTTTATATTATGCTGCTAATTTTTGAAATTTTAAACCACTTTTCTATTTCTATTTTTTACTAATTACCATTACTAATGTACGCAAAATGAGGTGCTCTTCCGTCCAAATGAAATATATTTGAGACAATTATTATTGTCATTGTGTATAATCTATATTTTATACGGTGTTGCAGAGACTTTTAATTAACTTTTAATTATTGAGCTAAGGCGTGGCCTCTACCAGGACCTAATAGTTGTACGTAGTCTTTATGCTAGTACTTGTTTGTGGTCTGTCGTCCCCATGTGTAAGAGAGGCAAAGCTTGCACATACCGCAAAATCTCGATACAATACCTGGAGCCTTCAGTTCGGAGCGCTTTCTCCAGAGCTTTGCTTATAAACAAAAATTATGGACGTGGCGCTTTCCATGCCCGTTCCCGCATCTCACATATTCCCGTAGTTCAGCAGGCCTTTATAAAGAAACGCTTGTGTCTTCATTGTGTTATTTATTAATTTTGACACTATACATTGTATTTAAAAACCCTGTTTCTCAAAGTGTTTCATTACACACAGGGAAATAATATACTCTCGATTAAGCGCCGCGGCTTAGCGAAGAAAATCAGGTTTGGTGCGGCGCTTATTCGAGCATTTACGGTAATGACTTGGTGTTTGTTATGGCCATACTCAACACAATTACGTTGTTTGACCAAAAGGATATTATATGAAAGCGATTTTATTTTTGTTTATTCATTTATTTATTTTATTTCAACAATCTTTAATGAGGGTGGTCCATCCAGCCGAAGCTGATCATTAGGGACCCTCCAAATTAATTAATTAATTAAATTAATTATTTTAATTAATATCGTCCAAACACAATCAAAGTGCGTAATATATTTTCCACCTTTTAATGTAATTATAAAAAAAGAGTTGTTACAATGTCCATGTAATTGCATTTATGGAAAAATTTTGTGAAAGGCTAATAGTATTATTCAAGTTACTAAAGATAAGTTCCAATGAGACTTTGCTAAATATTAGGAAGTTATGTAATTAAAACAAACGTTGGTTAATTTGTATATAAACTGAGCCTTGAAATATATGAATGTATTTTATATAAATACTTATGTTATGATATATTTAGTTTTAGAAGCATGATTATCAGTGGCAGCGTCAAGGTTGATCAGAGGCATGAAAGGGAAAAGAAAATATTTGAAAAGGGGGAAAAGACAATTTGATATGAAGCGTCACCAAAGTACCATATCCTGATGAGGAAGGTTTGGAGGATCCCGTATATGTGCTCGGCAGAAATGGCGCGAAAGCTCGGGCTTTATACATATTTAGAGAGAAAAAATGATCGGTTTTAAACATTATAGGCGTGTACTATATAGAGAATAATCGTATGAACACGAAGAAACATATGAAGTACAAAAAATTAGGCTAATTTAGGCCTCCGTGTATCGATTTTATGGGGACCAGGTTTAACAAGGCAAACTGTTTATAGTAAAAATCCATCATATACTTTACTTATTATCCAGTTTTTATACCGTCCGGGTCATATGTAATTGACCAAAATTGTATAATTTTTATTGCCATTCGAGGCAAATGCACCCTCATGCCCCCTGGCACAGCCACTGATCATTATTAGGTCTAAATACATATTTTTGTATATATTTAATATTGTACTTATATATTATATTATAGATTTATAAGCTGTTTTTAAGGAATTTATTCAGGTCAGTAATGTATTTGCAATCCCAAAGAATTGATGTGTCTGTATGATTGAAATTTGATTTATACAAAGATGTTAATATTTTGTAGAACGTATATTTTCCAGATTAGAATTTGTGTGGGTTGGTGTTTTTTTTTTATGAATAAAATATATTCACATTGTAACTGAGATATTAGGTTGAATTTGTTTCATCGCAACACGGATTGGTTGCATTTTGTACATGGAACTGTTTATGAAAATGGAAGCTTTTGAAGCATGCGCAGCGGCTGAGGTTTGGACTTTCAACCTGGTTGTCGCATGGAGGTATGTTGTCGGGGCTCCGAGAACTCTCGCTGTGCAAGTCGCTTGTGTCCTTGGGCAAGACATTCTATCTGTGTTTGTCTCTATATAGGAGTATAAATGGGTATCGGCATATGCAGTGCTGGGAAGTTAAATAGACTCGTTGTGTGGAGGAGTGGCGATCCCCTCAAATCATTGCACTGTCTGTCCCCCCTCCCCCACGCAACGTTTACAAAAGAGGGATGGGCACTCGGACCTGTACAGTTTCGACATACCTACCTTTTACCCTTACTCTCAATGAACGAGAAATTTTGACTACAGTACTCAAATTGATAGCAGTTCTTATTCTATTGTGTATTTTCTGGGGAGGGAGTCACGCAGAGGGGATGTTTTCTACTCTCTTGAAAATAATTGAAACTATGTATGAACTTGTTATGTAGGCTATCACTACTTTGCACTGTTGTCTATCGATGCTATAAGTGCCAGAGTCAATCATATCAACGAGGCGGTGCTCTGACATTGAATTTGAATACGAAGAAAGTCCGACACCCCAGGCTTGGATCTGAACAAGGAATGAAAAGAGAAACGTGACGAATCTGTTATTTGAAAGGACCTCCTGCGATGTCTGGGTCTTTGAAGATCTCACCAATGAAACCTCTGATTATATAGAACAAGACATATATATGTCTACATTTTAATAGTATCTGTTTATAGGTGGAGAAAAGGTGTTTACCAATTATAAGTTATCGAAGGAACCGGACCGCACAAAATTAAAAAGCCATTTTCATTCATAAACAAGTTCTCGTAATCTCGAAATCTCCGATGAGGGCAGTATAATAGGGAGTAGATCTCAATAAAGATATATTAATCAATCAACTACTAATCAATCAGCCAAGTGTTTCTAGAGCTCCTCATTAGAGCAGTATAATAGAGGCAGTAGATCTAAAAATATATTAAAGCCATCAATTAATCATTCAGCCTCATGAGGGCAGTATAATAGAGGCAGTAGAAATAAAAAAAGATAATCAGCCGAGTGTTTCTAGAGCTCCTTATCGGAGCTAAAAACTCTTCAGGGTGGTAGGGTAGTATGGAATGGTAGAATAATAAGAAATAAACGATTTTTAGATGTATTCCCACCACCTCACCCCCAATATCTAACTCGATTTGACACTAGTTTGTATAGGCCTTATTTTCCACACAGTAGGCTACGTTTTCAAAAAACATCAGTTCAACATTTTCATACAACATCAGTTCAACATCTTCATTAAAAATCTTCATACTACCCTAATGGAGTGGCTTCTAACTTGAAACCCAATATTACTTTTCCTGTTTTGTAAATGTTGCAACTAATGTTGAATAAGCCAACTCGTAGTTTGAACTGCGCATGCCCGTATCAAGGTGATTCGACATAAAGAAACATACAGGTTTATATCGGGCATGCGCAGTTCAACTACGAATTGGCTTGTTTCTGCACGAAATTTCTTTTATTTGCACCTTTGCTCACTGGTTCTTCTCTGGAATGTGGTGGCGATGTAACAAGTACCATGGTAGGTGATCGCTCATTTATCTTTCTTCTACGATTACTCAGCTGATATAAAGTTCTGTCCACGCTATGAAGTGTTTGTGACAATTGCATGTGATTTGTTCATTTATGATGGAATATCATTCCCATATATGGGCATATCACACAGATTTGTTACCTAAAAATTGACAGTGGACAGAGTTTTATGGTGACTTTGCAATATTTAAAGGCTGGTGCACACTTGCGTTGGCGCTGGCAACAGATGAGACCGATGCGACGACGCGTTGCGCGCGACAAATCGCTTTCACCGATACCGGTTCAGACTGCAATAACCGATTGTGAGCAGTCTGTCATTGTGTCTGGCAAGCGCTTACACAAAGCGCGGGAAAATTCGTCCTTCTGGTCGATCGTCTTCCAACGTTTCGATAAGCTGGGCACATACTTGGCGGCGGACAGTCGTCAGCGCGCTCGACGTAGACCGTGACATGACGAGGCGCTCGTGGCGGATCGTTTTCAATGACGATTCGCTCAAACTTCAACCGACAATCAACAGACGACGTCGTGTCGTCAAGCGCTGACAGAGAGCTGCAATGAATTCGCCGCTTGTTAGTCAGCCAACCGTTGGCCGAATAGTGTGTACCAGATTGTACTATTCTGGTGTGTACCAGATTGTACTATTTTTGTTGGTTTGTTGATGTATCACATTGTGTATATTGTTTCCGAAGTATGGGTATGTATGATAAATAATAATTAAGCCTAATAACAAAAATACTAAATTAGTATATATACTGTCTCTTATACACATCTAGATGTGTATAAGATATCTAAGTTGGTATAAATTAATTATTTTCTTGAAACTAACTACTATTTTTGTTCAATCTTGATCCAGAATTGGTATAGCAAGTTACAGATCAGGTAGCAGAACATGGCTAACATGCCTACGTGTTTTATTTCAATGTTATTCTACATGCTCGTACTTCTCGCGTTCGCACACGTACACGCGGAATTTAACTACACGTTTGATACTGGTGACGACAATAGTTACTTTCTACTGGAGGAAGATGAGGTCAGGATACTGAATCTTACGATCACCGTCTCAGAGGACATCACACTTTCATTTACGTCATCTGACGAGTCAGCATTCAATGTTCTAAACGGCAAAGAGTACGTTTATGCTGCCGATTCACCGGTCACCGTACAGATAGAAATTCAAGGGGTGTTCGTCAGTGTTGAAAAACTCCGGATCGAGATTACTCAGGGGGTAGAAGACTATACAATACCGGACTTTACCATCAAGGTTCTCCGACCGTACTCAGTGTTAAGTGATATTTTCACTTACGCACTGCTTCTGTGGCTGTTGATATCGTATGTTACAATGGGAACTAAAATGGATTTCTCTATAATTAAGACGAAATTTAAGCCACCGACTGGAATAACAATTGGGTTAATTTGCCAGTTCTTCCTAATGCCACTTTTAGCTTATGGATTAGCAAACGCGTTTAAACTGTCGAATGAATCGTCTGTTGGGTTGATCCTTGATGGCACGTGTCCAGGTGGTTGGCTTAGTAATATATTTAGTCTCCTGTTGGATTGTGACTTTGTGCTCAGCCTCACAATGACATTCTCGTCGACTATACTCGCCCTTGGGATGATGCCTCTGAACTTGTTCATCTACACACGGACATTCACAGACGATAACGACGATTTGAAGACTCCATTTTTCGAGCTAGCGCAACAGCTTCTGATCTTGGTTATCCCTGTCGGTATCGGAATTATTATTCTCTACAAGTTTCCGAAGGCGACCGAGATATGCGAAAAGCTACTTAAACCATTTGCCACATTTCTGATAGTCATCGCTTTGGGTCTGGGCATACCAGCTGAGTTTTATGTGTTTCTTTCACCGTGGGAGATATGGATGTCGTCTGCTCTCTTCCCTCTCATCGGATCCATTCTAGGTCTAACATTTGCACTGATCGGCCGTTTAGACAGGCAATCGGCTGTAACAGTCGCCCTGGAGGTCGGTGTACAGAACAGTCTGCTCGCTAAGACCATGGTGGATCTGGCCTACCCTGAACCAGAGTCGGATCTGATCGCTAGGATTCCGCTCCTTATAGCTCTTCTTACTCTTATCGAAGGCACTATTATCACCGCTGTATATATTCTCGTCAAGCGTCTCTGTCACAAAGAAGAGGACGAAGCCGATCTTGTCAAGGATAAAAAAGACGTAGAGCTAACCAATGGGAATAAAACCGGAGAGCCTAAAACTGATATTGAGGCTGGTGCCCAATCTAATCCAGGCTTTACGCCAGAAGCTAATATGTAGATCGTGTTATAACATTTGGAATCTCTTACGCCAGGCACTCACTGCGTCAAATGGTCGTCGCCAACGAGACTATGCGGAAAACGCAACGCCATGACGCGCGCGCAACAGGATCGTTTTTAAAGACGATCTATTCAGACTACCACCGACAATTAGCAGACGGCGTCGCGTCGTCTAACGCTCACAGAGGAGTACAGGAGTAATTGGCAAACCTCTGTACTTATTGAGTTATGCCAACATTTTTACTGATTCTTTATATTTTTCTATACATTTTAAAAATTGTAACTTATTATTATTATTATTATTATTATTATTATTATTATTATTATTGATATTATTATTATTATTACTATTATCATTACCATTACCATTATCATTTTAATTATTATTATTGGTTTCATCATTATCATGATTATAATTACCATTATTATGATCAACATCATTATCATATTATTCTTAATATTATTAGTCCTATTATTAATAGTATTAATTATAATAAATATTCAATTATTAATTATTATTAATAATTTTATCATATTGGCGATAACAGCAGGAATTGTACTGTTCTTGTTATTATCATTATTATTTTAATTAGTATTTGTCCTAATATTAATATAATTAATTATCATAAATATTATTATTATTATTATTATTAATTTTAATGTTAATATATTAGTGATAAGAACATCAATTAATATTGCCCTTGTTGGTATCATTTTTCATTAACGTTGCTTCATGGTAATTAAAACTATTGTACTGTATTATTATCGAAACGTAGGCTGTATTTTTGACCATTATACTGAGATATTGCACTATCTTGGCTTTCTGGCACAAAGGACCTTTTCTGCTTTCCGCCGCACCTTGGATATTGTTACTAAGTTCTCACAAAGCAATAGTGTAAATGTACGTACGTAACCACGTGCGTTTGTGGGACATACGTGTGCTTCTGTGACAAGCGCGTAATCTTAGCGATGCTTTGATTGGTCAGTTATTAAATTTAATTGACACTCCGGTAAGATCCATTGGTAGAGTAAAAAGTTGATCGGGATTTTTATGAGTTCAAATTTCAATGAAGACAATACGTTTTCCCAAACGACCATAATACCTTAACTATTGTATTTAAAGACTGTACTTAATATCGCACAAAAATGTTACCTGGGGCGGATGCAGGATTTTGCAGTAGGGGGTGCAGGCCCGACGAATCTAAAATTAAACGGGGGGGGGGGGGGTAAACATTTTCCCCCAAAACGAAAGGGGTTCCGGGGGTCCTCCCCCTGGAAAATTTTGATTTCTAGATGGCGGGAAATGACCTTTCTCGACTTTTGAGCTAGATGTCAAATGACTTTGTTCTTCAAAATTCAAGGTTCCCCCTCCCCCACCCCTCTTGAAAATAATCAGATAAACTTTCTCATTCTTATTACAGATTGAC